GAGCTAGTGTCCAGACTCTGCCACCAAAACAAGAATTTACAAGACCAGAGTGGAAGAACCCTGACAGCCATCCACTTGCAATGCCCTCTCATGCTCTGCTTCTTGGCCTAGGAAGTGTTGCTGTTGTGACTTAACCTTCTTGAAAAGCTGCAGAACTCATCCTTGTTCCTTGCAGTCTGAAAAGAGGGAGAAGGACATAGATTGGCTCCCTATGGGGTCAGATGGCAACTGTATGACGTGTGATCTCTCAAAGTGCCCACATTCTCCACCAGATGCCACAAGTGAGAGATCATATGGACACAGAGACACAGTGAAATCTAGAAGGGCTATTTATTTACAGTGCAAGGTGTATGAAAAGCAGGGTATGAAGGGCGAAGTGTCAGTTGTGCAGCCAAAAGTGCCAATTCATGCAGGTCCAGGTGGGGAGTGGAGTCCTAATTGTGGGTAGCGGAAGAAGGGAATATTGTGAGCCTTTAGTCTCAATCAAATTCTGTTCATCTCCCCTGATGAGCCTCATCTAGCCCCAACTGACGTTATTTCCTTGGCACAAACACATATTTAAGTTTGCACTGTTTTAGCATGTCTACATGCAGCAAATGTGACACATTCAAGTTAAAATTCAGTTAAGTTCAATTCAGCTTTATTTGTATAGCGCTTTTACAATGTAGATTGTGTCAAAGCAGCTTCACATAAATGGTCATAGTAACTGAAACAGTGTAGTTCAGTTTTTAGTGTTTAAAGTCAGTTCAGTTCAGTTTAGCTCAGTTCAGTGTGATTTAAAATCATTACTGAGAGTTCAAACACTGAAGAGCAAATTCATCGATGCGTAGCTCTACCAATCCTGAACCATGCGAGCCAGTAGCGACAGCGAAGAGGGAAAAAAAACTTCACCTGATAGGAGTGAAGAAGAAAAAACCTTGAGAGAACCAGACTCAGTTTGGCACGACCGTTTCAATTTCTCCGCTGGCCAAAAGTCTTGTGCAAAGCTTTAGTCACCGTGGTGGAGGCTGGAAGGTGGCCTCAGCAAAGACTCGTCTGTCCCTGGAGCGTCGCTGGAATCAGACTCATGTTCTCCACTCCCCATGACCATCAGCGCAGCAGCAGCTCAGGATATGGCCTGGTCCCGGATATGGAATCCTTGGGATCATCTCGTCGCTGGTCTTGGATCCAGTCAGTGACTCTGCATAATCTGAGGACCTCGGGATGAGTATCCCCCGGTGAAAATAGAGAATAAAGAGAATAATTAGCGTAGCTGCTGTTCATAGTGTATAAAAGCAAGATGCAGAAGCCTGTGTGGAACCCGCTAGGTGATGCATTGAGTGTATGCTTTACTAAACAGATAGGTCTTTAATCTAGTTTTGAACTTGGAGAGTGTGTCTGAGCCTCGGACGTTATCAGGAAGGCTATTCCAGAGTGTTGGAGCCATAGAGGAGAAGGCTCGACCTCCTTTACTCGATTTTGCTATTCTAGGTACTACCAGAAGCCCTGAGTTTTGAGATCTTAAAGAGCAAGCTGGATTGTAGCGAGACAGAAGGTTGGTTAGATAAACAGGAGCTAGATTATTTAGAGCTTTATAGGTGAGAAGTAATATTTTAAATTCAATACGAAACTGAACAGGGAGCCAGTGTAAGGAGGATAAAATTGGGATGATATGATCATATTTTCTAGACCTGGTAAGAACTCTGGCTACTGCATTTTGTACTAATTGAAGTTTGTTAATAGAGGATGCTGGGCAGCCAGCAAATAGAGCATTACAGTAATCCAGCCTCGAAGTCATAAAAGCATGGACTAGCTTTTCTGCATCTGAGATGGATAGCATATTTCGTAATTTAGCGATATTTCTCAGATGAAAGAAGGCAGTTTTTGTGACATGGGATATATGGTTTTCAAAAGTTAGATTGCTGTCCAATATGACACCCAGATCTTTTATAGTAGAGCTATCGCTAACTTTGTATCCCTCTAATTGTAGATTGAGTTGCGAGATCTGCTGTGTACAAGATTTAGGCCCAATAAGTAATAATTCTGTTTTGTCAGAGTTTAAGAGAAGAAAATTGTTGGTCATCCAGTCTTTAATGTCTTTGATACACTCAGTTAGTTAAGACAGTTCAGATGTCTTGTCAGGTTTAGTTGAAATATATATAATTGAGTATCATCTGCATAGCAGTGAAAGCTGATCCCACGTCTTCTAATAATGTCTCCCAGTGATAGCATTTAAATTGTAAACAGCAAAGGGCCTAAAACTGACCCTTGAGGCACTCCATACTTTACTGGGCTGACTTGTGAAGGCTGTCCATTAATATTCACAAACTGGTAACGGTCAGTTAAGTATGACTTAAACCATTGTAGAGCTTGTCCCTGGACACCTGTAGACTTTAAGCGATTTATGAGGATATTGTGGTCAATGGTGTCAAATGCCGCACTAAGATCGAGTAAAACTAATAGCGAGATGCGCCCTTGGTCAGCAGCTAAGAGTAAATCATTGGTTATTTTCACTAATGCGGTTTCTGTACTGTGATGAGCCCTGAAACCTGACTGAAACACTTCAAAAATATTGTTCGTCTGCAGAAAGGAGCATAATTGAGTAGAAACCACTTTTTCTAGTATTTTCGACATAAATGGAAGATTTGAAATAGACCAATTACCATGTTTGTAAACATTCAGGATGCGCGCGCAGGGAGGTGGCAGAAAGCAACCGGGAGCGCTAGCATTTACAGTGAGGGAATGACATCAGATGCGGTGCAGAGTTTGTTGTTGTCTTAAAAATAAGATATATTACTTACATATTATATATATTATTTCATAATGCTTACAGCATATTATAACAGCTCGTCACCCAGTGACAAGCACAGTGATGCAGCAAAATTAACGTTAAAGCGAGCGGCGTTCATCTGACAGCTCCATTTGCGATAGCACCCTCCCAATGAATATTGGATAAGACGAAGTGACCGAGCATCCAGCTCAAAATATACAATCTCAATTAAGCTCCGAGTGATTTTACAAGAGAGAAGTTAAAGATCTACAAGTCTTTGAATGCCAACAATGTTGTTCTTTGAGGTCATGTGCAATAAATATTGCTCCATGATGACCAGATTCAAGAGCTAAACACAGAGATTCCGCCTAAGTTAGCCAAAGACAAGGAAACAACACGGAGCTAACGTTCTACAAGGCCTGGGTAATTAATCACCAACACGCAAAACCACTGCATTCTGACAGTGAACTTCACCTGTACGGCAGGGTATGTGAACCTATACACAAAGAGGTAAAGTTGGTTTTATATTCGCACATTCAGACTTTCTCCTTAATAATATAATTTCATCAAAGTATTATTTGCAAACTCTAAATAGAGAAATCATATTAGCAGCAGCCAATGACTATCAAAGTACAACATGTTCACAGTCAAATAAACAGTGTTAATGTTGTTTTCAAGTCACACTTGCAGGTTATTTCAGACCGAATATTCAAAGTGACGTGATAAACAATAAAGGGAGTTTGTCACAAGTTGTCACTGAATGAATGTGTGAATATAAAACCAACTTTACCTTAATAAAAGTAACTTTCACGTTTCGTTATTAGCATTCAGTGTCAGCAGTTTAATTAACCACATGTAACTGTTTTTTCTGAAATCATTTTTGCAATCAAAAACGAGTGATGTGTCTGATTCAGCATAGCGTGAACTGACCTGATATGACATGAGAACTGCAGAGTCCAGCATTTCTAATTAGCTCCTCACTTCATTCAGCTCCCATTTAGCCAAAGACGTCTGCAGTCGGTATTAAAGCAGTGTGTGGTGTAAGGTAAAAGTTAAGTTTTCCATTTTTGGACTCGAATTCAGCATCCTACCGCAAAACATGACATCTTTCCCATTGTAGCCTGTCTGTTTTTTGCAACCGGGGACCCGTGTGACGTCATGTGTGACGTAGGTTGGTAATTGGTCTATAGGCCTATAGTTAGCTAAGTTGTTGGGGTCCAGTTGCGGTTTCTTAATATTAGGCCTAATAACAGCTAGCTTGTAAGAGTTTGGAACATGGCCTATAGATAAAGAAGAGTTGATATTGTTAAGAAGAGGTTCTTCTATAGCAGGTAGCAGCTCTTTCAGTAATTTTGTTGGAATTGAGTCCAGCATACACGTAACTGGTTTAGAGCTATTTATAATTTTATCTAGCTCTTCCTGTTCTATGATTTTGAAGCACTGTAGGTTATTATTATTATTATGATTCAATGCAATATTTACAGGATTTGGAGTATAAGCCGGTGCAGAAAGTTTGGCATTTCCTATTTTCTGTCTAAAGCCTTCTATTTTATCACTGAAAAAATTCATGAAGTCATCACTACTAATTTGTGGTGGAACAATTTGTTCCAAGGATGACCGATTATTTGCTAATTTAGAGATGGTGTTAAATAAAAATCTTGGATTGTTATGAAAATACAAGTTTGTTCACAAAATAAACCTTAACATGCACAAACTGAGACTGAGAAATTGAATGATTAAATCATCTGCTGATTCGAGTTAATGAAATACATAGCAATTTTACTCGCTTATCTTTATTACTAACATGCACTGTTTTTTAAAACATTTTAAACTTGTAAAACTCATTCTTGAACTGCAGCTGATCATGGGGAGTTGGAACAGTCCTTTCAATCCAGTTTCTTTGAAAATCTGTTCAGTGGGCATGTTTATATGCCATGGGTGTCAGTTCTTGCAGGGCCACAGCCCTGCAGAGTGCAAGCCTAAAGGACTCAATTCGCTTGTTCTGTTTAAAAAGCTTTTAAAAGTTTATTTTAGCATCATAGGTGTCCTTAATAACTGCACAATTTGTTTACTTGTGTTATCTTTGAATAGTTAAATTTGTGGTTTAATTAGCACAAAGTAAATGTATTGTTAATATATTTTGGTATATTTATTTTTCACTGTGTTACATTTATTACTATTTTACTAATTTGTGTTCATAGCAATAAACTAAAACAGCTTCTTACCATCTTTTTGTCCTTGTTAGAGGCAAGTTCAGCTTTTATTCCGGGTGAGTAAATATTTGTTTCAAATATACAATCATATAAGCACTAATCAACATTAAGAAATAAATAAACATATAAACATATTTGTCAGGCTTTAAACTTTATTTATTTGTTTGTTGTATTGCAGAGGAATTGTGCACCCTAGTGATCACAGAGGCATGTCCAGAAGATTCTGGAATATTTAAATGCATTGCATCAAATCAGTTTGGAACAGTAACATGCAGTGCCATGCTGGAAGTATATACAGGTACCCTTATCTTTGCGATGTGTTCCGCAGTTGGACTGTTTTTCAGTACATTTGTATTTATTGATTTTTTTTTTTTAAACTCAGCCTATCTTAAGCAATAATATGCACATGCTGTATCATATATCATTTTCAAGTGTGAACACAAAAAGAGTGTAATAGTTAAGGGGCTAAATAATTATAATAAAAGTTTATTAGATTACATTTATCTAAACTTTTTGGTTGTCAACATTGTGTAAGCAAATAATGCGGTAATTGAAGTAAAATTAATATTTTATTATTATTTTGTTTTTCAAGACCTAGAAGAGGTGCTGGGAGATGAGCAAGACCCCTCCTCTATACAATCAGATGTACTAGTAAAAGATGACCATTGCTTAGTACTACAAGATACATGTGCCGCTTCTCCAGAATGGCCTAAAAGTTCAGAGGAAGAAACTGCAACCCCTATGTCATGGTAGGACGTTTTTCTGCATTTTAGCAATGGCTAAAATTTGAACATTTGCAAGTCAACAAATAATCAGGGCTAGCATGTGTGGCAGCATAGTCAGTACAGCAAAACAAAGAATAAATTACTTTTTAGCATTATTATTACTGGGTATTAATTGGAAATGAATGCTCTCGTATTAACAAGTCACTGCACTATTTGTTATTCTAACTCAAAAATTCACAAAAACAAGTGAATTGAGAGCACCGAGACACCAGAAGGGATGTAATTTTGTTTGTATTTTGCTAGTTGCTAAATCCCTCACATAGATTATAACTTCTTGGACAGATCTTGTGATATAAGATTTAACATAAAACAAGTTGTATTTCAGTAATGATACACAGTATTTTGATTCCTGTCATGTATAATAATGTTATTATAACAATTGAAACTTGCACCAATATAATTCCACTGTGGATGTCATCTTGTTGTCAGATGCAAAAATTCATTCAGATGTCAAAATCTGCCCATTATGAGTAATCTCTGGCCATTTAGTGCATATTACAGTGCATAGGGGGATTGACTGATTGAGTACACTTTAGAATGTACACTGTGGTTTCAGACACCATACAAATACCTGCTTTCTATAAAAGTACACTGCTAATGGGTATAGGGGGCAAATTCAAATGCAAAATACAATTACTAAATTCCCTATTGTGTTCCAAACTGCCATTAGGGATTGTACCTACTGTAGTACCGAATACTGAAGTATTCAAGAAACCATGAAGTTATTCTCTACAGACAGAGGCTTTTAAGAAGAAAAATAAGACAGTGTCAAAAAGGGATTTTTGACCTAACAAGTATCTGCTGTCACTTTTGACTCCCTATATGCCCAAATGGACAGTCTTTATGAACTGCTGTAGTATTTTTTCAACTAATGAATTTAAAATAAATAATAGTTTGCTTTGTCAAAATGAATATGTTTTCACTTGTTTAAATTAAAGTGAGTATTTGATTTCATTCCAACTGTATTTAATTCCAACTTATTTGCAATTTAAGTTGAAACTGTGAGTCAGAGGAAAATTGTTCTTATTAGGGAAGGGTTGTTTTCGATCTTTTGCATCTGTGAGCTGGAGGATTTGTTGGGCATAGAAATTAGCTGTGTTTAACAGCTGTGTTTACTAGACCATGTGTAACTATATACATTTTCAGGTACCAGTCACTGCATAAATACTGAAAGCATCGAGCTTTAGTGTTGATTGTTCTTATGTAAATACAAATGAGGGTAAAGACAATTAACTTAACCTCCGTGTCTAAGACCGACGAGGGTAAACACAATTCACTCAACCTGTGCAACTAAGGTGGATGAGGGTAAAGACAATTGACTTGACCTGCACAATTCTACCCAGCAGTGACATTCACACAGCACTACAGTAGGCTTTTCTAATTAATTTTCACACAATATGCTGACAGAACATTCCTGTCATTGCATGCCCACACACATACAATAGACAGATGGTACTGCAACACCAGCAACTTGCACTATAACACGGGGAGTGACAGAGACAACTGAAGTTTGGATCCACATGCAGGTTTATTCTGAGTCAGGCAAGCAATTGTCAATACGGGTGCAAACAGATGTATAAAGGCAGTCCAGAATCTTAGTATGAACACAGGCGAGAGGTCGGAAGGTAGGCGGCAAACAGAGACAAAAGGATAAACTAGACTAAGGTCAAAACACAGGAAAACAAGACTAAGAAAACGCGTTGATTTGTCACTTTACAGTAAAACAAGACTCGGCAATGTGAATGAGTGAGTGTGCTGAGTAAATAGTGTGTGTAATCAGCCTTTGACAATCTTCAGGTGGTGCAAGTGTAATCAGTCAGAATCTATAACGTGTGTGAACAGAGTGCATGTATGAAGTTGTAGTCCATGAACTGACGGATTTGTAGTTTGTATGAATGTGAATGTTTTCCTCTGGTGCTTAGAGATCGCTAGTGATCATGATATACACTATCCACATTTCCTCATATAAACCCTCATCTATTTTAGTTGGTCTTTAGAATTGTCAGTCAACTATCAACAAAGCAGAATTCATTCCAGTATGTGCAACACATTTTAATCTTCACAAACTGGACTTGACCTAGACCTGTCACGGCAATCTCTCTCTTTCAGCCACACTCCCTGCCCAATCAGGAGGAGAGAAGGGACTAGTTTTCTCATTTCTAATGATTGTAAATAATCCAATTATGCTGACTTGTAGGATAAGGGGACTTCAACATTCATATGGACAAACCTTATGCCACAGATTTCCATTCATTGCATTATTCAACCTCAACCAGCTAACCACCACAAGCACACATAAATCTGGTAATCAACTTCACCTTATATACACAAGACATTTCACTTCTGATAAAATTGCAGGTAAACCATTTCACACTTCAGACCAATTCAGCATTACTTTCGACTGCTCCCCAAAGCCACAGCACCATCCTCCCAACCAGTCTCTTTTACATTTACATTTAGTCATTTAGCAGACGCTTTTATCCAAAGCGACTTACAAATGAGGACAAGGAAGCAATTTACACGACTAAGAGCAACAATGAATAAGTGCTATAGGCAAGTTTCAGGTCTGTAAAGTCTAAGAAGGGAAGTATTAGTAGTATTAGTATTTTTTATTTATTTTTTTATTTTATTTTTTTGGGGTACAGTTAGTGTGATATTCAGAGAGGCAATTGCAGATTAGGAAGTGTAGTGGAGACTAAATAGTTGAGTTTTTAGTCGTTTCTTGAAAGTAGCGAGTGACTCTGCTGTTCTGATGCAGTTAGGGAGTTCATTCCACCAACTGGGCAGATTGAGCGTGAGCGTTCGCGAAAGTGATTTCTTCCCTCTTTGGGATGGAACCACAAGGCGACGTTCATTCACAGAACGCAAGTTTCTGGAGGGCACATAGATCTGCAGAAGTGAGAGCAGATAAGAAGGAGCAAGGCCAGAAGTCACTTTGTAGGCAAACATCAGAGCTTTGAATTTGATGCGAGCAGCAACTGGCAGCCAGTGCAAACGGACTAGCAGCGGAGTGACATGTGCTCGTTTAGGTTCATTGAAGACCACTCCTGCAGCTGCATTCTGGAGCAGTTGAAGAGGCTTGATAGAGTTAGCTGGAAGCCCAGCTAGTAGAGAGTTGCAGTAATCCAGTTTGGAGAGAACAAGAGCTTGAACAAGGAGTTGAGCTGTATGTTCAGATAAGAAGGGTCGGACCTTTCTGATGTTATAGAGTGCGAATCTGCACGATCGAGCAGTTCTAGAAATGTGGTCAGAGTTTAGTTGGTCATCAATCGTTACTCCAAGGCTTTTCACCATTTTGGATGCAGTAATGGTTGCCCCATCCATCTGGATTGAAAAGTTATGGTGTAAAGTGGAGTTGGCAGAAACTACAAGCATTTCCGTTTTTGCGAGGTTCAGCTGAAGATGATGAACTTTCATCCAGTGTGAAATATCCAACAGGCAGGCTGAGATGCGAGCTGGAACCGAGGGATCATCCGGATGAAAAGAGAGGTATAGCTGGGTATCATCAGCATAGCAGTGGTAGGAGAATCCATGTCTCTGGATGACTGGTCCTAGAGATGATGTGTAGATGGAGAAGAGAAGTGGCCCAAGAACAGAGCCTTGAGGTACCCCAGTGTTTAGATGCTGTAGGTTGGACACCTCTCCCCTCCAAGACACCCTGAATGACCTGTCAGTGAGGTAAGATCTGAACCATTGTATAACAGTGCCCGCAACGCCCAGTGACTCGAGCGTAGATAGCAGGATCTGGTGGTAGACAATGTCAAAAGCAGCTGACAAGTCCAACAAAATGAGGACTGATGATTTAGAGTCTGCTTTAGCCAGTCTGAGATCCTCCACGACCGAGAGCAGGGCAGTCTAAGTTGAGTGGCCTTTCTTAAAGCCGGATTGCTTGATGTCCATGAGATTGTTTTGAGTAAGAAAGTCCAGGACTTGATTGAACACTTCTTTCTCCAGAATCTTGGCCATGAATGCAAGCAGGGATACTGGTTTGTAGTTTTCAAGTAGCGTATGGTCCAGGTTGGGTTTCTTTAGCAGTGGGGTTACCCTAGCCTACTTAAATGAAGTGGGGAATAAACCCCAACATTAGCAACAGATGTGTTAATTATGTGAGTCAGTGTTGGTATGACTGCAGGAGAGATGGCTTGCAAGAGATGAGAGGGAATATGATCGAGTGGACAGGTGGTTGCATGGCTAGATAGCATTTGGCTCGGTTCAAGGCAACTTTACATAGTGTGAGTACGCGCTTAGATGCAATTTGTGCTCCCTGTTGTCCACACACTTCTAATTGTTAAATGCTCACTTTAATCACATCTAATTCTCACATCTAGATGTTAAAAGTGCAACAAAAACTTTCTGCTTTATTTCAGTGTAGATGAGAAGTCTAGATGAGAGCATGGCCCAAAACAAAAAGCCCCCGCTGACATCCTGCCGGTGAAGCAGTGGCGCAGTAGGTAGTGCTATCGCCTCACAGCAAAAGGGTCGCTGGGTCGCTGGTTCGAGCCTCGGCTCAGTTGGTGTTTCTGTGTGGAGTTTGCATGTTCTCCCTGCGTTCGCTTGGGTTTCCTCCAGGTGCTGCGGTTTCCCCCACAGTCCATAGACATGCGGTACAGGTGAATTGGGTAGGCTAAATTGTCTATAGAGTATGAGTGTGTGTGTGTGTGAATGTGTAAGTGGATGTTTCCCAGTGATGGGTTGCAGCTGGAAGGACATTTGTTGCGTACAAACTTGCTGGATAAGTTGGCGGTTCATTCCGCTGTGGCGACCCCGGATTAATAAAGGGAAGCCGACAAGAAAATGAATGAATGATATCCTGCCAAGCTTGTATCTTTTGCCTTCATTCAGAAGTGTACTAAAACCCTATACTACATGTCACAGGTGAGAGATCACACGGAAACAGAGATTAGAGCAAGGGAAAAGTGCACTGGGATATGCAAGGCGGTGAATTCAGTGTTCAAGAGTTTGGT